AGAGGTCAATGCGATTCTGGTAATGCCTGAGTGCATACTTTATAGCATTCTCATGAATATTATTATACATCTTTTCCTGTGTGCAGTAACAATTTAATGAGATATAATAGATCAAAATGAGGCGAGGGTTCTCTGAACCCGCCTATTCACATAGTTCATACTCACCATAGACTCCGGTCAGTCAAAATGACTATTTTGAACTGTCGGCATTAATCAGCGATTCTGCCAGTGACGGAGAGATAGAATCTAGGTCAGGGGAAGCCTCATGACCCCAAGATTCTCTTTCCCTTACGTCACGAACCACAGGACCGAGGCCATATGGCTGCGCCATAGACGGCTGTACAATCACTCTGGTTTCTTTCTCTCTGCATCGAGGACTTAGACCAACGCTACGGAAAAAGTGGGGTGGTTGGAGGGGACCCAGAGTCTATGGTGGGTATGAACTATGTGAATAGGTGGGTTTGGAGAACCCTCGCCTAAATTCACTATGTTCAATTACACACCATAGACTCCAGTCAGTCAAAATGACTATTTTGGACTGTAGGCAGAGTCAGACGTCGATAGGTGGCAGGTTTTCCGAGCAAACAGAAAAGTGATGAAAAGTCTTTTCCCAGTCAGGGATGAAACACTCTACAATAATCACTCAACACCCTAGTTAAGACCCAAAATAGGGTGGTGTCTTATCTTGCCTGTGCTGTCCCCGGAGCAAGAAGCCAAAATGCTGCTACGGTGACAGGGTTCGGTGTGCCCGAGAAAGCTAGACCCCAACCCAATGGTTGAAGAACCCTGAATGGTGTCTCCATGTGGAACCGATCGAGGAGCACATACTGATTCAGTTTACCTAGGTCCAGAACTGGATGCCCGCCACTTGTAGTTTATGTACTAAGAACACATTTGGGTAGAAGCCTGTACTTAGCTCCGGCTGATGTACCCTGTGTATGGCGCCTTTTCTCAGCAAACTGCTACTTCCCGTCCGATTGCTCCCGCCTTGCGGGAGTCCCCTGGCAGTGCCCAATAGGGGAGACACTGACGGGGGGAAATGGAGATTTCAGCGGTATCCCGTATCAGGATGTCACCACCTGGAAAGGTCCAGGGATCAGTCATCTGCTGTCTCCAAACCGGACTACGCCGGCGCAATCTGTAGAGGTGAGCGTCAAACACACTTCCCCCGCTGCCGGGGTAGACGTCCACCCAGGGAGGGTGAAGAGCCACCACCTGGCTCTTTCCTCCCTGGGGGCGCGCCACTACTCTTCCCTCACATGAAAGGATATGAGCGCTTGCCTCCTGGCTGACTCTGGCTAGCGGACGACGACCTGGGGCATTGTGTTTTCTGTGCTTAGGGTGCCCTCCGCTTGCCCTTGGCAGGGCCAACTGGCTAGTGGATTCGATCTGAACCCTCTGGTTCATTGCACTCCGAAGCTCAGAGACTGTACCCATCATTCCCTGAACAAAGAGGGTGGAAGATGTCCAGTCTGTGTCACTGAGGTGGGGGACGTACCCCCGACCCCGGCAAAAACACGTGCATCTAAGGCCAAGTCTCGTAGCACAGTAGTAGCCCAGGCCAAGAGAGCCAGGTGACACAAGGGGGTGTCGTACGTAGATGTGCGGTGGCCCACCAGTACCATAGGGCCTCCTACTCGACGTCCCGGTACACGAAGCACCGGTAGCCGAGTGTGAGAACTTTCCACTCATGCTAAACACGCAACTCACTTTAACCGATTTGTTTACTGGACGCGCGACCTTGCTGTGACGCAGTCAATCTCAGCGATTTTGATGGCTCTGAAAGAAAATCTCAGGCCTCAGAACTCCAGTGAAAAAAACACACACCTTCACACAAAAACCCCGAACCCAGTACGCAGCTACGACAAAGTATCTCGGATGCGGGTTCTATGCTGGTAAATTCTGAATATAACCACTGCACAGTCGACTCAAAACATGAGGAGACCAAAAAGAAAACGGCAGCGAGCCCTGGTGCTGTCATTACATCTATACATTGCTAAATACATTGTAAATAAAAGACGACATGCATGAGGGAAAAACAAAATACAGTTGTAAAAGGTGCCGCCGCGAAACCAACAAGTGGTTACGTAGTGGCGCCGGGTTTTAATTTCTTTGTTGTGAAAAATACTACACACAAAGGGGAAAACAAGGGTAAAAATGACAAGGAAAACTTATCCTACCAGCTACAATGTCGGATGCCGTACAGTGGCAACAACCCAAGCTAGAAACCTGGACAGGAAAAAAAGCAGGCAATCCAGCAGAGCCGCTAATTAATGCCTACAGTTCAAAATAGTCATTTTAACTGAACAGAGTCTATGGTGAGTAATTGAACGTAGTGAATTGCCAAAGTTTTCTTGTCTGTTAAATAAATTGCATTCATTCAGGAAATTATATTAGTCATCCTATATTATTACTGTGTCCGATGTAAACAAAAGAAAGTCAAAATAAATGTTACTCATTTTCCAAATAATAATAAAACATTTAAACGTGTCTAATACTTTTGAACACATTTGGATCAATTCTACTATTGTTTTTGGTCTCAGGTAAATAATAATGTTTTGTACAACCAAAATTTGTTTTCCCATTTCATGTATTTTTTTAAAAATTTAGATAGTTTTCCATCCCTTATTTCAATTGTCTTACCTTTTCTAATGGTTCTATAAATGATGATTCAAATTCTCCTTTACAAGTATGTTTAATATGGTGTTCTATTTTGCTTTGAATTATAGACGTAACAGCTTCTGACGAGACTCTCTCCAGTAATCCTAATTCATATCTGCAAATAAAATATATCTGATAAAACCTGGCTATTTTATAGATGAATATTGCACTGGGTTTCAATACTTTTAAACACTACTAAATTATAGGTAATATTTGGTGGTCTGATTTTACGTGATTTGTAGGAAATATGTGTGAAATATTCAATTTTCACATGCTTATCTTTAATTTTTTTTTTTTAATTTCATTTGCTAACATCTATGAATAGTGCCTCAGAAATTCTAAATCAGCTGAATCATCAAATAATTTGTGCATTTCATTTAATGGTCTACATAATATTCCAAAGCCAAACTAACAAATACATAAATCATCTATAACTCGAGTTCATGTCAAAGTACAGATGATAATGCACCAATCCCTTAGATTAGTGAAACTAGAGACAACAAAATTGGCAGTTGTCAAAGCTGTCTCTAACAACCACTTTTGTCATGGGATAACCAAATATGGGAAATGATTGCCATGCAAATGATACAGAAATCACATTATTACATTGTCCAATGTAGTATTATGCTACTTATATTTTTTGAGCAGAAAAGCCATAGCCTAACATGATTTTATTTTGTAAAAAGCGACAAAGTTGACTTGGGAATTCACAGGATGCCATGATTTGTGGCTGTGACTAAGTTTAGTCATCTGCATTTTGATATTGATAAAGTGTATGGAACATCTCTTGGGGACTTGGGCTCAGTTCCTGGCCTAGAAGTTGAATAATAAACATCTTAGTGACAAGTGCTCTTCTCCAGTGCATTTTTCTCCTCTCTTGGTTCACTCTACTCTGAAAAATCAGCTCTCATTTTACAAAAAAAAAAGTTTTATTCAAATAAACAACTCTCTTTCACATCTCACTGAAAAACCAGATATTGTTTTAATATCTACCCTTGGCTCTTAAATTTTTCTTGCAAGCCAGAACTAGTGAGATTAACGATCCCTGCATATTACTTACAACTGCTGATTCACTTGATGAAATGTTTTTAATATTTCTTCACACTGGCATTCTTCACAATCTTTACTACATCCTGGACATCTAGGTCCATCATTCTCATCTCCATCCTCCTTCTCCTCTTCATTATCATCATCTTTTTCATCTTCGTCTTCATCTTTATGGATCTGATGAAAAGCTGGATAAACAGACACAATGAAAATACTATCAACACTATAAATCCATTCTTTTGATTTTTATTAAATATTCATAAATTTCACAATTCAAATTTAAATGAGAGCTTTTTCTATTCAACCATGGAATTAACATTGGAACATTTATGAAAAGTGTCATTATGCACTCATTGTTGATTGGCTAGTTTGATTCAATTTAAATCTAATTATATGTACAAAAATTAGGTATTATGGTATCGATAGTATCAAAGTCATAAACAATTTTTTTTTTTCAATTATTGGTGGGTCAGTGGTTAACACCACCCAGCAAAGGATGTTCTCAAACTGTTGAAGTTCGCCAAAACCGAAAGGTATTTCATTGGAGGGGAGGTGATCAAAGAACTATTTTGTCTAGGTGTCAAAGATCAATTTTTAATTTTCACAGTTGAAAAATTCATATTTTTGTTGTTGCATTTTCAGTCTGTAAAACACATTCTACTTTTGTGTACTGGGAGGGAAGGGAAGGGAAGGGAGGGGAGGGGAAGGAACGAGAAGAGGAGAGAAGGGGAGGGGAGGGATATGATCCTACATGGAATATCTTTTGTTTTTTGGTGAACTATTAGAACACTTCCAATTGGTTAGGGCTAGCATGAACGGATATGTTAGTATTTTGCTTCTCAGTTTACCGGTATATCAACTATAAAATCATAAGGCGTTTCAGTAGACAAATTTAAACCTCACTTACAATGCACTGGTGCTACATGTATTTCAGAACCCATATAACTCCGCCAGTCAAATGCCATCATGAACACTTGAATAAATCAACTGTTTATTTTAAACCTAAACTAGGGGGTTTGATAATTTGCTGCTTCAATACTACTGGCTTCCATTAACCATTTGCAAGTCACCAATGATTAATTTCATTTCAATAATATGTGTAACCCTCAACACCACTGACTAAGGTAATTTATTCTGCAAAAATGGTGATTATTTAAAAACATGGAATTAACGACAGAAATGCGCATTCTACAGTAGCACATTAAAATGTTTGACAAACTCTGATTTTTTTTATTTCTCATTGGCGAAGTAGCTAAACTGCTTGAAGTTGGTTAAGAAAAAAAAAGTACTATTAGTCTAAGTGACTTAATCTACTTTATATTCAGCAGAAGCCCAGTTACTGTAAAGTACTTTATTTTCACTATTTTCGCCTTAGGGATGATTCAGTGAAATATACATTTTTTGCCCTACCCGGTATATTTTACATCCAACAACAGTCAAAATAAATTCCATACAAAACAGCCAAAATGGTTTTCAGCGAAATATAACTCCAACTGTATTTTACAGTTTTGCTACAACACAAAAATCTCCTTATGTAATCTAAACAAGGCAGGAGTACAA